GAGAATGAGTTTAGTGGTGATATTCCAGTTAATTTAGGCTTACATTCAGAGCTCTTGTTGTTGAATCTTCATTCAAATCAGCTTCAAGGGACAATTCCCGAGAGTATTTTCGCTATGGAGAAGATTGAATTTCTGATCCTGACTAATAATAAATTGACTGGCATTATTCCTGACTCAATTGGGAATTGCAAAGGCCTTTCAAACATTAGAATTGGGAATAACAAGCTCATCGGTGGCATCCCTAAAGCAATTGGAAATATCACTAGTCTTACTTATTTTGAAGCAGATAATAACACTCTTTCTGGAGAGATTGTCTCAGAATTCGCGCACTGTGCTAATCTCACTCTTCTTAATTTAGCTTCAAATGGATTTTCTGGTACTATTCCTCCTGAGTTTGGCCAGCTCAACAATCTGCAGGAGTTGATTGTTTCTGGAAATAACTTGTTTGGAGAGATTCCAACATCAGTTCTTAGGTGCAAGAATCTCAACAAGCTTGACTTAAGTAACAACAAATTCAATGGAACCATACCGGGAGATATATGCAACACATCCAAGTTACAGTTCTTGCTGCTGGGACAGAATTCATTGAAAGGGGAAATACCTCGTGAGATTGGGAACTGCGTAAAATTGCTTGAGTTGCAAATGGGGAGTAATTATCTTACTGGAAGCATCCCTACTGAGATTGGTCATATGAAGAACTTACAAATCTCATTGAATTTGAGTCATAATCATCTCCGCGGCCAGTTGCCCAAGGATCTTGGAAAACTTGACAAGTTGGTTTCTTTAGATGTGTCTAATAATCAGCTGTCAGGGAATATTCCATTGGAGTTGAAGGGCATGCTGAGTTTGATAGAGGTTAACTTTTCAAACAATCAATTCACAGGCCCTATACCTACTTTTGCACCATTTGAGAAGAGTCTAAATTCAAGCTTTCTTGGAAACAAAGGGCTCTGTGGGGAGCCTTTGAGTAGTGAATGTGGAAATATATATGGTTATGAGCACAATGGCTACCATCACCGAGTTTCCTACCGGCTCATTTTGGCTGTTGTTTGTTCTGGTTTGGCAGTTTTTGTATCTGTGACGGTGGTTGTTTTACTATTCATGATGAGGGAGAAACAAGAGGAAACCGCCAAGGAAGCTGGAAATACCACTGATGAAATTTGTAGCAAACCGGTGATCGTTGCGGGGAATGTTTTCGTTGAGAATCTCAAGCAAGCAATAGATTTTGATGCAGTTGTAAAAGCAGTCAGGAAAGATTCAAATAAGATTAGCACAGGCACTTTCAGCAATGTGTATAGAGCAGACATGCCTTCTGGGATGATTTTGTCGGTTAAGAGTTTAAAGTCAATGGACAAAACTATAATTCATCACCAGAACAAAATGATCAGAGAGCTTGAAAAGCTAAGTAAACTCTCTCATGATAATCTGACTAGGCCTATCGGGTTTGCAATCTATGAAGACGTCGTTCTACTCTTGCATCAATACTATGCCAATGGGACGTTGGCTCAGTTTCTTCACGAGTCTAGCCAGAAACCTGAATATGAACCTGACTGGCCGACGAGACTTTCCATCGCCATTGGAGTTGCAGAAGGGTTAGCGTTCCTTCATCACGTGGCCATAATCCATCTTGATATTTCTTCAGGGAATGTGTTTCTTGATTCTAATTTCAGGCCTTTGGTTGGTGAAGTTGAAATATCCCGACTTCTTGATCCGTCTAGAGGGACTGCAAGTATCAGTGCTGTTGCTGGCTCATTTGGATACATTCCTCCAGGTATTCTATGGCTCGAAAGAGACAGCTAATAATCTTTTATTAACTTATGGTGCCTGACTAATTCCTTTTCTTCAACAGAGTATGCATATACCATGCAAGTAACAGCTCCCGGAAATGTCTATAGCTATGGGGTTGTTTTGCTCGAGATCCTTACCTCTCGGTTACCTGTTGATGAAGCTTTTGGTGACGGAGTTGATTTGGTCAGGTGGGTTCACGGTGCATCTGCAAGAGGAGAAACACCAGAGCAGATACTCGACGCAAGGCTTAGCACCAATTCTTTTGCTTGGAGGAAAGAAATGCTTGCAGCTCTAAAGGTCGCATTAATGTGCACCGACACCACTCCAGCAAAACGACCAAGAATGAAGAAGGTGGTAGAGATGCTTCAAGAGGTTACACAAAGTTGAATCAAACTTGTATCAGGAATGAAATTCACTGTTCTTTGCCTACAGGACAAAATAGTTAAAACTCTGTATATTGGCTGGGGTTGCCATTGTAATTTTGATATGACATTAGAGAAAAGCAGTCCTTGATATGTACCATTTTGTACTAGGCCTCTAATCATATAGAGTTCTTTTTCTGCAGCATATGTAAATGGAGGTTTGGCATATCAATTTTTGTTTGCAAATAGGTTAAGATATGTCTTTTTGTTTTCATTTCCTGGTTCTTTAGGGACAAGATAGACATAGATGCTATATCTCGGTTATACTTTTAAGCATTAAGAATCCTCTTCAAATACATTATAAAGACCCTTCTATAAAGTGGAAGTTTAATTGTGCGTTGCTTCCCTTTAATTAGGAGAGGCAACATATTGAAGATCCTGCTGCTGCTGCTGCTGCTTCTGGTGTATATCGACTATGGAAACAACAGTCCTTCTGCCTTTTTTTTTTTTTTTTTTTACATGTTGTAGTATACTGATAAAGTTGCTGCCATGTGACCAGGAGGTCATGGGTTCGAGCCGTGAAAACAGCCTCTTGCAGAAATGCAGGGTAAGGCTGTGTACGATAGACCCTTGTGGTCCGGTCTTTCCCTTTTTTTTTTTAGTATACTGCTATCTCAAGTTAAGTCTGCTATTTCTTGCTACGAGAATGATGAATTTCTTCATTCTTCTTATTTGGAGATGTATGAATTTTTTTGCCAGGAAATTTTAATCTTGAAGTGGATGCACTTCAGCTAAATGTATACCGTCTAAACTAGTAGTGGCAAAATAGTTAAAAGAATACAGTTAACCATTCATATTATCCACTAAAAAATGGGTTGGATAACCAATGAGTCTAACTTTTACATTTGTAAAGTCTCAAATTGGGGGTTTTTCAAGTTAGGGAGACTAAGAATTCTCCCAAAAGTGGTCATATGCAAAAAGGCATGGATAATATGGTTATCTATATGGGATTTTTACATACATATACACTATAGGAAACTTTATTACCCTAAATGTCCATGTTTAGTTAATTACCCGGCCTAAACAAGTTTTGTTTACGAAATATATACTTTCCACCTTAAAAGGCTCTCAATCCATTATTAGTGCCTTCAATCAAGGGATTTAGTTACACCTTTTTCTTTTTTTCTCCTCTTCTCTTTCTTCTCTCCAGCATTTTTGGTAAATAGTTGAAATCCCTTGTATGTCATGTCTTCTTCTTCTTCTTTGAGTTTCAATATGAAATTCAGCCAAAATCAAGTATAATCTTCACCAAAACACCCTCAAAATTGAGATATAAACTCCAAACCATATTCCCAATTGTTTGCAACAACACCCAATCCAAACGAATAATGGTTTTTGAAAACCCAAATTCGAATTCAAAGCTTCAAAGCTTTTTAATGGCTGTCAATGGTGGAATTGCTGCTTTCTTTGCTTTTGCTCTACATTGGAATTAGGGATTGAGAGATAGAGAGAGACGTAGAGAAAGAGCGCAGGAGAGAGAGAGAGCAAGAGTGAGAGAGAATGAGGATGAGAAATAATTGATTCCTAATATAAAGGGATACTCATTTAATTTCTAAAGTGCATGTAATTGGTAAATTTGTATATAGGAGGTAATTAAATTGAAACTTGAGTAGGGAGAGTAATAAAGTTTCCAATAGTGTATAGGTATGTAACAATCCCTATCTTCTATATTATCTGCCGGCTAACCCATTTTTTATCCGTATTAAATATGAGTCGGGTCGGATAATTGATCCGTTTTCCATTACCCCTTTTCGACCTGAACCATATCCGATCGCCCCGCCTGTTTGCCACTCCTAGTCTAAACTGCATACAAGAATCAAGAAGAGTGTCAGCGGAAAAAGGAGGGATGGATTTCATTATCATCTCAAAATATTATCTTTAAGTACCTTTCCCAAAAAAAAGGATTATCAAGGTACCAAACGATCTTAGCTCTAGAATCAGGGAATTGTGTACACTTAACTGAAGAGCTATGCATTTGAAAAAACAGACAATACAAATCAAATTGGAAGTAACAGTTTATGACACGTTTTGTTAGAGCAAAGTAATTAAAAGATAAGTAACTTGCTATACAGTCTTTTCAAGCTTAGTGCTTGGATTAGTCCCTTTCTAGTAGGTCTGGTTTCTCATTTGTTACAACAAGCATTTACATTGTTCTTTTTTTTTTCTTCTTTAAATTGAAAAACATTCTGCATCTTGACACAATTGAGAAGAATTCTGGGGTCCAGATCTTTATTACTCCCTCCGGCCCAAAATAAGTGATTTTTAGTTGTTTTCACACGTATTAAGAAACTCAACTTTTAATATTAATTAGCAATGAAATTGACCATATTAACCTTTACTAGCTCTTTACATAAATACTCCTAACACATACTTCAACATTATTTACTCCAAGGGCAACGTAGAAAAAAAATAATTAATTCAGTCTTGAAATCTAAAAAAAACACTTATTTTGGACCACAAAGCCAAAAAATCACTTATTATGGACCGGAGGGAGTATTATTTTTTTCACTCGAGACCTCCATCTTTCCACAAAGTCAAGACACTCGACTATCTGAATTTCTTCTAGCTAGCATGGTAATTAATTGTTCTAGTGAAGCAAAATGATCAAGAAAATGCTTTAATTGTTCCTACTGTTGGAATTGGCCTTCCTAGGTAGACGTATCATATGTAACTGATAAATCCACAAGTGATTGTCAACATGTTGAGGTCTCACTCTCACAGGCCACGGTTCAATCAATAGCCAAACAAAGCATTGGATCTTTGTCACCTAAGAAGAAACAACAAAAGAAAGCATAAAACAACGGAAACAAAAAAAAATTATATTTAGATGTCTGAGAAAACAATGAGATACAGTGAGCTCAATAACTATCCAACATCACTTCATACATGTAGCATTGTGCCTTTCAGATATAGAGATCTAGAGCACATCAACCATCTAACAATGTATCTCGCGAGCAAATCGTGTACTCTTGTTTAAGAGTTGAAGCTCCATTGATAATACATCATGCTATGTGTCGTTTGCGTGTGCTGTGGTCAGTGCCATCATACTGGAATCACCATTAACAAATGAGAGAAGTGCAGAATCCACGCGCTATGTCCACCTTACCACCCAAAAAGCCTTTATCCCACCTCGGAAGCTGTTCCAGATTATGAAAAAATTTCCCGGCTCCTACTTAAAACGGTTCTTTAGATCCAAGACTTGTTTTAGCTATGTTACCATTCTCAAAACAAGAAAAGAAGAAGAAGTTGTTTTAGCTGCAAACCTCAAAGAGCAGAGCTACTCTGTTGCAGTTTCACTTCTTCATCATCTGTATAATCCAAATCCTTAATATTCATGTTACCCTGATCATGTGGTCTATTGTTTAACCTTTTACGTTTCAGTATATCCGCTGACTCCTTCATCAAACTGATGTATTTTTTCCTCACTTTTGCTAAAGGATGTTGCTCTATAGCCCCTCTATCACAGTAAGCTTCTTTTAGTATTGCAGTGCAAGTCTTATTATTCAGTGACAAATAGAAGATATAAGGATGCCTCTCAAACGCCTTGTGAACTTTTTGTGGCAACCCGAAGTGTTTTCTAAGACACAAAAGCTTCTTCCTTTCTGCAGCATGCTCAACAAACAAACTAAGCAACTCGTGAAGCACACCCACCACTCGTTTTTCCGCTGTATCGCTATTTGGATCCAAACCAGAATAATCCTCATAGGGTGAAACATATGGAAGCCTCTGAAACTCATCAAACCAGTCTGCAATCTTCCTTTTAAGTCTCAATCCCTTTGACGGAAATAATTGAAATTCTAGCACCTCACCCTCCACACCACTATACACTCCTCTCCTCATTGCATTCCTCTGCATCATCGATAGAAATCTCTCACTTCCATCGACATTAACAGCTAGCCCTTTCAATCCATCTTCCATTTCCACAAGTCTGAAACACTTATCAAGATTGTCTTCTGGGTTCCTTAAGAATTCGTCGGGTAAACCCAAATACCATTGCAGACCCTGAATTACCTTTAAAGGAAGCATCTTTTCCCTGCCACTCATCAGTATCAACTTCTTCAGCCTCAAAATGATATCATCTTTAAATTTTACATACACCTCTCTCTCCTCTCTATCAAGCTCAACAGCCCTCTGGGTCAGTCTAAACCAAGGCAAATTGTATTTAGGGCCAGTAAATTCCTCAAAAACAGATGGGTACAACCTCAAGAACATGGCAACCTTAATGGGTATTCCTAACTCTAAGCCTTTCTTTGAAATTGCAGAAATGGGGACACAATAATCATCAGGTGAAGAGGAGACTATGCAGTTCTTGAGAGCAATTAAAGGCTTGAGTTGAACTGATCTGTGAATGGTATCAATGGAGTCAAAAAAAGAGTCTTTCTTCCATTTCATGTACACATCTACGTAGGTCTGCCTCTGGATGTATGAGCAGGGAAGTAAGTGGCTGGAAGAGAGGACTTCGTGCAAGAGACATACAGAGTTTCTGCTTCTCCTGACGATCATCGCCATCACCTTCTTTATTGTTTCTGTGCAGTTTGACTGTGGCTTTTTAGGTCTTGGGAGAGGCAACAGGTTGATATTCAATCGAAAATAAAAACACACTGAGTTATATATACTAGCTGCCGTTGGCCCGTGCTCTGAGCCAACTAAGAAGAATATAGTACAGTTTAATGGAGCTGAAAAGCAGCAACCATAGTACTTCCTGTGGCAAGCTAACACTCTCCAGTGACAGCTAGCTAATACACTTTACTAGTCACCTGCACTCCTGGATGCCACTATGTTATACTGGCTGCCTCGCCTTTTTGCACCTATCCTTCTTGATGATAAATCTGAAACAATGACAACGGCTAAATAACCCGCACATATATTCACCGGAAAGCAAAAGAACCTGAACATATTAACTAACATGAGGCTATTGTTTGGAGGAATAACTTGTAAGCATATAGAAGTAATCAGTATTCAAACATGTTTGAAGCGCCAATTGACAAGAAATAGAGATCATTTCACTGATGTCCCCTTAACAAATGACTGTTATATGAAGTATGACCACATATAAGCCCCAAAAAGAGCTAATGGCAAATAAAAAGTGCTGGATTGGGATGTAAGAAAGCAAGATATGTATTTTCAGAGCATCAATTAAGAAATATAGGAGGGCAACACACTTGTAATTGAACAGATGATAAGTTATAGAAAACAAAGGTCAAGTAAGTAAGAAATTTTATTATATGTTGATGTTTATTTGGTAATCTATTTTCTTCTAATACTTCACAATCCAAAGAAGCAAAACTGGTTATTGCTCTATGCTACAATAATTTACTTCCGGTTGTTGGGAAATAAAGTTGTTGCAATTATTCTTCCATCAGATGCAAGGAAAATCAATGTTCAAAGACGAAACAAGAATTAACGGAGCATGACATACGGTGTAGCCATATACAAAGAACTTTCAACTATTGTATCACACTCTTTCAATTTCAAATGCCAATTGCTAACAGAAACCCAGTACAGAAAAATCAATGGAAGCTAAGAAACAAGATATGTCATTGCATAGCATAAGGTGTAGTCCATATTCTAAAAAAATTCAGAGTTCAAATACTTATTTTACTAAGAAACAAAAACCCAGTTCACAAAAAAGTCAGGAAACAATCCAAACCCATTAATATAAGCTCAAAGACATTATCGTTATGCAAGAATCAGCAACTTAGTCTACACACCTAACCCTAATAGTACTTACCGGTCACCGGCGGAATTAAAGGCAAGCGACGACGTTTGGAGGCAAAGCTGAAGAACAGAACGGATGGGCTGCGAATTAGAAAAAAAAAAAGGGGAAGAGGAAAAACCAAAACTTCCACCCAGAGAGAGAGAAAGAGAGCAAAAAAAACGAATAGTGACGAGTGTAGAGGTTTTGATAATTTTTGCATTTTTCAATTAAAAATGTTTGCTCGAAAAGTGAAATTGGAAATCGTCCATAACATAAAAATTGCATCTATTTTTTTAAAAAGTTTTAATTTGTAACCATTTTTTAAACAACTTCAGTTACCTTTTTCTTCCTCCTTTTCCTACTTCGTTTTCTTCTTCTTCTTCTTTCTTCGGTTGTTATTGGTGCTGCTATAATTTGGCGAATAAACAATACTTTTATATGGCGACCTATTTTTCTGTTAGTCAA